TATTTCAGCTTTGCCCCTCCTCCAAGGGCGTGGCCTCAGAGAAAAGCCCGAGAAGGTTACCAAGGCCTCTCCTACTAGCTTGGCAACTTGGGTCTCCCCAGCCTCTTGTGCCTGCTGGAATCCTTGCTCCCTTCTGCAGCTTCCAAGACACTATTTGCTGCTGAGCTTCTTGGAGTCTCACCACACGCACGTGCAGCTTGCCAACGACACAAGGACGTCATTTGCTGCTGTGGGGACTCCCTTTTCTGTGGGTGCATGCACTCCAGGACTTTGCCTCTCATTTTCTAGACAGCCCCAGGCGCCACCTCTGTCTTCTCGCTCTAGCAACGATCTCTTTCTGTGTGGGTCCAATTTCCCCATTCACGGCAGCAAACTGGAAGGTGCGCTCAAGGAAAACCCCAGCTTGTCTTTGGAACTCAACTCGTGTGCTTCAGCTTTCTCTCTTCATCGGCTGCTCTCCAGCGACTGCGAATAACTGTTTATAATCCATCCAGCTTCGCAGCTGTCGTGGGCGGGAGTTCTGTCTTATATAATCGACTCCATGGTGACCAGAACTACAAACCACGGCCACGTCTGAACTACCACTAAATCTTGCTCATCTGCTGGTAAACAGCCCCCCAAATCCATCCACTTCTCTCCGTCTGCAGGGCTGACCGTCTAACGCGGCCACCTTCGTCTTTACCCGGACAACTCATCCACCTCCGAGTTGGTCCCCCGCTCCTTTCCTACCTTCCCCCCACCACAGCATCCCTCATCAACTCACCCCCTCATCACCTCACCCCTCCGATCTCCCTTCCACTCTGAGGTCAGAATAATATATTAAAGACACGAATCTGATTGGAACCCTCCGCTTAACACCCTTTCATGACCTCCCACCATCCCCCAGAGGAAGTCCGTGTTCCTCACGACAGCCTAGGAGGCCCTGTGTAACATGACCCCGACAATGTCACCAACTGTCTAGCCCCATTTGTCCCCTTCTCCCACCACGCTACTTCCACTCACTTCTGGGCCTTTGTATCTGCCGCTCCCTTTACCTGGAAAACCTTTTCACTGTCTTTTTAACCGTCTGACTCCTCCTCGTCCCTCAAGATGCAACTTAGCTGTTGCTTCCTACAGGAAACCTTCCCTGGCCTGAGTCGAGCATCTCCTCGAGGGTCCCACAGCCCCAACTCTCACTCATCCCAGCCCCGATCTGTGCGGCCTCCGTTCCTCCCACCTCAGCCCTGATAATTCTGGACTGGGCTTCGCTGAGACAGCTCTGACCCCTCCCTCTGCCCTCAGTTTCCTCTATCATGGTTCTGACGCCTCCTCCTGGGCTTCTCCTGACCCGGCTCTGACTGCTCTGGCAGTCACCGTGTCCTGATGTGTCTGTCACATTCCCCCCTCCTCCCCTGGACTTCCAGCTCCACAGGGGCAGGGCCCGGGGCTGTCTTGGTCACATCTGTGCCCCAATATTACTTATGTATAGAATGTGGGGTTTAACTAACTATTCCAGTCACCACAAGCAGGGTAAGAAGGCATTGGAAATGTGGCTGATAGGTACTGAATTGGCAGCTGCTGCCCCAAGCTCTCTCCGGTGAACCCCTGGCCACTCCCAGCTTTTTCTTTAGAATCCTCATGTCCCCAGGACCCACCAACTCGTGATGCCAGGCCCAGCAGGGGGCCCTGCCAAGGTCTCTTCCAATTGACCGACGCCTTCTGCACTGACCTGTATCATTAAATATCTTGAATAGCATCCCTTATGAGAAGCATTCCTCAGGCCCAATCATTAGCGCTTTCCTTAAGCACATCTAACCGAGAGAGGAAGCCAGTGTCCTCTCTCACCACTTCCTTGAAAACGAACATCTGATTTAGTTCCCACTAACAGATAAAGTTTGCGGTCAGGATGGATGCAGAAAAAGAGCAAACACAGGCTTCTGCTTCCCGACGGCATTGGGACGGAACGGCCTTCACCAATTTCCTTCCTCGTTGGGGCCAGAAAGAGGAATCTCTGCCCAACCTCCTGGGGGATGATGCCCGCCCCACCGTTCCTCTCCTGCGGGAACTGGAGGAATTGGGATCTTTTTCTTACTGACCAGAGCCTAAAGCCACAAAACTCAACGCAAGAGCTTATGGAAAGGGTTCTTCACATTCTTTCTTTCTCACTGCCGAAGGCAAGGACCATTCTGTTTTAGGGAACTTCCTGAGCCCCCCCGCAGCCTGTGATCCCCTCCTTTTTGGTTTTCTTTATGAATTTTGAGTCTCTGGTATCTCTGGTCTTTGCATTTCGGTCCCTTAGCATCTACTGCCTGAACCATCTCCCGCCCCATGGAAACAGTTACGAATCATCAGTGAGGTACTGCATCTAGCTCTGGAGTGGGTGGATGTGTGCATAGCTTCTTCAGGGTAGGTGTTGCATCTTATACAATAACAACCACAAAGACTAGCACATATGGGATGGGATAGGGTTATGGGCTGGGGGTGAGTTTGCGGGTGGCATTGGGGACCATTTGAGATGAGCGGATTTAGGGATGAGGTTAGAGACGTGTTTGGAATAAGGATGAGTTTGAGTCGGAGGGTGCTGGGGGTAAAGCGAATTTGGGGATGGGATGGGAGGTGAGGTTGAGTAGGGGTTGGACACGTGTTTGGGACAAGGAAGCGTCCTGGGGAACGGTGTGAAGCTGGGGTGGCAGAGCACTGAGGATAGGACAGGGGTGACGGCGGGGTCGAGTGGGGAAAGTGGGGGATTGCATGCGGCAGGGGCTGTCCTACTCACCAGAGTTGGGCCGGTTGCACAAATTGGACCCACACACGGCCTCCACCAGGGTGATGACCTGCATGCCTGTCCGATAGCTCATGGTCCTATTGGTCTTCTCCGGGTGCGTACAGCCCGTCTCCACCACCTCCAGCTCTTCACTGACTGTGAGGAACGTGTCTCTGTCACCCCAGAGGCTCCGCTGGGCCCAGACAGCCTGTCCCACTTCGGGCCTTACAGTAACCTGCTCCTGTGGCCGAGTCCCAGGCCTCTGCTCTTTCTGGGGTCCAACTCTGTCTTCTCTAGCGTTAACCCTCCACCCGCACGAACCCCGCACAGGGATCCCACTTTCTCTCAGTGACAACACTATCACTGGGACCTCCTGGGTCCACCTATCTCTGTCTCCTGCAGCTTAGCGATCTTAGCAGGGAGATACCTCTAATAGCAATTTTTAAAGAAAAATGCTTTAAGCTTACTCAAAAGTGTACGACAATGATATAATAAAGACCGTGTATTCATCACCTAACTTCATAACATATTAGCATGTTTGCTATATTTGTTTCAGACATTTTAAAAATAAATGAAACTTAAAACATGCAGTGGAAGCCCTCTTCCCCAGCACGCTCCCCTCCGCCCCGCCCAGTGCCGGTGGCGGGTACAACACGCGCTGTCGTTTGACAGATTTTGCACTTCGTATTTAAAGGCATCACACTCTGCATCCTGCTCTTTTCTCCCACCGTCATGTTTCTGAGACGTATCCATAGTAATGCCCGCAGTTCTACTTTCTTCATTTAAACTGCTGTGTGGTATTTCATTATGTGATCACACCGTAATTTTCTCCTCTGCTGCTGAGTGACTTTAGGGCGTTTCCAATTTTCCATCTCACAAACATTACGGCTAAGAACATTCTTCTTATACACGTGTCCCTGGGTGCGTGAGGCCAGGCGCTCCGGTGCTTCTATATTTCTAGGAGGTGAGATGCTGACGGTAGGGGGTACTCTAATCTTCATCTATACTAGATATCACCAAATGGCTCTGCGGGGTAGATGCAACCGTTTGGCTCCTAAAAGCAGGGTCTGTAGCTCCACATCCTCGCCAAGCCCAGTACTGTCAGATTTTTAAATGCTTGTCGGCCTGGCGGGTGTGAAACAGGGAATTTTTGTCGTTTTGTTTGCATTTCCGTGATAGCTGGTGAAGCAAGGTTTCTTGGTCCCTTGCATTCCCTGTGGCGCTGGAGTGGGGGAGCTTACCTTCCCATATGCGCAGGACCGTGGTCCTGCAGAGAGCGGGGCCGGGGGCACACTCTTCCACCTGGCAATGCCCGTTCCTCTCACACCGCATGCACCGCAGGCCCCAGGTGGCTAGGGAGAGACGGAGGAGACCGTCAGAGAGTTTATTATATAGCTCTGCGCCAGGATCCCCCAGGGTCTCATCTGTCCGCTGATGCCCAATACTACGACCAGGTGTCTCAGCCCTGTACACTTAGGTTTGTGCTCCACGTTCTGCCAGCCCCTGGGCTCCAACGCTGGGTTCGGGCCAGATGCACTTCTAGTCTATTTCTAGCTTCGTGTTTCCTCCCCGCTTCTCTTTCCTAAGGTTTTATCCCGGCCCATCAGCCCTTCGGAAATTTGAACCCAGACTACTTAGTAACTCGCCCGGCGGCCTCCCAGGAGGTTCTCGCCCCTCCCACTAGCTCCGCCTCCAGATGATCTCCCCACCCACTAGCCCCGCCCCTGAGGTTCTCTCCCCTCCCACTAGCTCCGCCTCCAGATGATCTCCCCACCCACTAGCTCCGCCCCCGAGGTTCTCTCCCCGCCCACTAGTCCCGCCCCCCAGGTTCTCTCCCCGCCCACTAGCTCCTCCGGGTGGTCTAGCTCTGCAAGCTTGCTTGGCCTCCAGGCCTATTCCAAGGGTGTCAAACTCATTTTCACCCGGAGCCACATCAGCTTTGCGGTTTGCCTTCACAGGGCCAAATGTAATTTCAACTCCTTAACCATGAAGGAGTAGTTCCATTTATACAGTCCTAAAATTATTTCGGCCCTTTGAAGGCAACCGGGAGGCTGATGTGGCCCCCGGTGGAAATGCGTTTGGCACCCCGGGCCTATTTCCTTACCACTAGGCTGCCCCGTGGGTCCCCGCCTTCCCCCAGTTCGGAGTCCTCCACAGTCATTACTCATTCTTGGTCTCCAACGGTCAGTAGGGCTTTCCGGGTTATTCATTGACGAAATAGTCCTCAACCCCAAACAACGTCCCCTTCCACCCCGCCTTAACTGAGTTCCTTCTCTATTTTCTCTAGTGTTGTCAGCCTTTTCCCCTTAAGTTTTCCGGGGAAAGGAGGTGAGAGGGTCCCCGAGGGACAGCCCTGAGTCCCCAGCCCCGGGCTCCGTGACGCTCCGCCTGGCTCTTTGTGGGTAAAACGCGCGGTCCTCCCTACATTTGGAGTTGGGGGCCGGTGGTGGGGGGCGGGGGTGGTTCGACGGAGGAGGGAGCAGTGGACGCCCCACGCGGGGATCAGAATCCCACGCATTCCAGAACTGGCTGTGTGACCTCGGACCAGATACTTAACCTCTCTGTGCCTGAGTTTCCTTCTGTGCGAAGCGGGGTTAAAATAAAGTTCTGTCTGCCCAGTTGGAAATGTGCGAGTAAGGCGTTTAGAAGAGGACCCGGAATAAACAGCTCTCACTAAACGGTGGCTATCGTTAAATGCCTCCTCCGCTCAGCTAGGATTTCCTGAGTACCTACTGTGTGCCAGGGACTGTGCCGTGTGGGGGCTGCAGACAGCGGAATTATTATTTGAGTGGAGGGGCTGGGGACTGAACTCCCCTCCTCCTCCAACGGACCAGGCTGAGTCCCCTTCTTCTCCCTTCCCCGCCGTGGGGCCCCATTCCCAGAGCAGGTGTTGCAACCCAGGTGCCTCTAACCTGGAATGCAGGTTTGAACCACCACCAGCAGCAGCAGCGGCAGCAGCAGCGGGGCGCCCATGTCCAGCAGCGGCTCCTCCTTCCCGCAGCGGCTCCTGTCCGCAGCCTCCCTACTCAGAGAGTCTGGCCCCGGGAAGGAGACAGTTTTGTGGTCCCGGGGGCTCCTCCCAGGCGTTTTGCGAAAGAGCGAGTCAGCCGTAGATGAGTGAGCGCCCCACCGCCTCCCCGACGCGGGCCAGACTTCCTCTACCAGGGCGTGGCCAGAAGGGAGTAGGGGGCTGGCTCTGCTCTGACTCACGCGGCCACCGTCACAGCTGTCTCCGGACCGCGGGGTGCAAATTCCAGTTCGCCCTCTTCCTGCTATGGGATCTTTAGCCAGGAGCCTCACTTCTCCGGATAAAAATTTATCCCTATAGAAACTGACGGCTGATTATTAGATGATATAGGACTTTTGTTAGTTTTGTTAGGAGGACAACGGTATTGTGGTTTTGTGGGAAAATGTCTTTATCATTTAGAAATGAATGCTGAAATATTTGGGCTTGAAATAATAGAATGTTTCTAATTTACTTTAAAACACTTCAGCCAAAAAGTAGACAGTGCTGGTATGACAATGGTTTTGCGGTTGTGTGGGAACATTGTTCTTAATTTTTATAGCTCCCTAAAATATTTAGAGGTTAATGTCATTGATGCCCATATTTAATATATACTTTAGGAAAAAAAAGAAAGGCAAATTAGCAAAATATTTGTATCAATTAGATAGAGGTAACTTATCTGCCATTCTGTCTCCTTTTCTGTGTGTTTGTAAAGACTCATAAATAAATTGTTTTTCATTTACTGATTTTAGGGAGAGAGAGGAAGGGAGAAATATTGATTTGTTATTTCACTGTTTTTTTTTAAGATTATTTATTTATTTATTTATTTATTTATTTATTTTTAGGGAGAAGGGAAGGAGGAAGAAAGAGAGGGAGAGAAGGGAGGGAGAGAAATAACAATGTGTGGTTGTCTGCAGGACACCCGCTATGGGAACCTGGTATGGGGACCTGGCCTGCAACCGAGGCATATGCCCTGGTGGAATCAAACCTCCATTCTCTGGTTCGCAGGCCCGTACTCAATCCACTGAACTACCCCAGCCAGGGCTGTTGTTTCACTTTGTAATGCATTCATTGGTTGATTCTTTTATGTGCCCTGACTGGGGATTGAACTCACGACCTTGGTGTATTGGGATGATTCTCTAACCAACTGAACTATGTGCCCAGGGCAATACATTTTTTAAAAAAGTAGCCCTGGCTGGTGTGGCTCAGTGGATTGAATGCTGGCCTCCGAACCAAAGTGCTGCAGGCTCAATTCCCAGTCAGGGCACATGCCTGGGTTTCGGGCCAGGTCCCCAGTGTGGGCCACCTGAGAGGAAACCACACAGTGATGTTTCTCTCCCTCTCTTTCTCTCTCCCTTCCCCTCTCTGGAATAAATAAAAACTTTAAAAAAATTTTTTTTATAAAGTAAAATAAAATGCAAAAGGTAAGGTAGTCCTCACCTCAGGATGCTTCTGACCAATCAGAGCAATTTAATGCAGGTGAGATTTCTGGACAATCCCTGGCCCACCTGGAGAGCTCAACAAATTCCTTCAATATTTACTAAGTGCCAGGAACTGGCCCAGGACTGGGTCACAGCAGGAAACCAAGCAAAGTTCCTTCCCTTGTGACCGGAGGGGAGTAGATATGTGTAATCTAATCTATAGCTGTCGAGAAGTGATAAATAAAATGGAGACAAACAAGCCGGGTAGAAGAAGGTGCAAGGTACAAGTAAGGCATGGTCAGTTTAAGGGGGGGTGACCCAGGAGGGCTTCCCGGAACAGGTGGCATTTGAGCAAAAACTGAATGTGTGAGGGAAGTAGTTGGCAAATGACCTGGGAAGAGTTCCAGGAGAAGGAAACAGCCAGTGCAAAGGCCCTGAGGTAGGAGTGTGCCTGATGATCAAGGAACAGCAGAGAGGCTAGCGTGGCTGGAACAAAACTGGAAAAGGAAAGAGTAATAGGCAGTGAGTAAGTCATTGTTACCTCTACCACTATACTAATGATGAAACTATCGTTATTCTTAGTCATTCAGCTAAGCCTTAAGCTAATAATATGAAGAGAAGGTAGAAAAGTCCTAAAGAAATCCTCTCCCCTAAGAGACAGTAGGTCCTACTAATTACAAGAGTGGGGTGGGGGATAACACCAGACTGTGAGGGTTCAAATTTCAGGCACTCACTTTGCTGTGTGGCCTTGGGCAGGTTACTTAACTCTCCTGTGCATCGAACTCCTCATCTGGAAAGGAGAGAGAACAAGTGCCTCCCTCTGAGGGCTGGTGTGCCAGGGACAGAAGAGGATGCGCTAGGGTGTTGGCCACAGCACCTGGCACACAGTAGGTACTCTCAAAGAAACTGTAACTGTCATGAGTATTGTGGTCGTGCCCAGCTGTAGACTTTGGCCCTAGTTTCCTCTCTGTGGGGTGGGAAGAGAGGTGGGGAGAGACGTCATGAGTCTGAGGTCATCAGCTGTCATGCTGATCACTCCCTCCCTGGGCCACGGTGAACCAACAGGTCACCTCTTTTTTTTCACATGGGAAAGGGGGCACCTTCTGCATGAAGGCCGAGGGAGATACTAATGTGTATGCGGCGAGAGGAAATAGAAAGTTGGGGTGTTCTAGGTGGGCTTGAGATCCGGCTCGCCACTTGTTCCTGGGTGACTTGCTCCTGGGCGAAGCTCCTAGGTGGCTTCGCTCTCCTGTCCCTTGCTTTTCCCAGCTGTGACAGGGGTCTGGGGAGGGTGGGAGGCGTCTCTCAGTGAAAGGAAAGCTCAGGTTTGGGGGTCACACAGAGCTGTGTGGTCTGGAATCACCACTTCCTGGCTGGGTGACCTCACCACAGTGGAGTACAATTTCCTCTTTCATTTGAAGAATCGAGGAAATGATCGTAAACCCCACCCATCCCCTCCTCAGAGCGCTTTGGTCTCCTTGTCTCTCTTATTCTGTGTCTCTCTCTCTGACTTTCACTATCTGTTTCCTTCTCTCTCTGACTTGTCCTGTTTCTCAGGTGACACACACCTGGCGAGGGCCCGTGACTGTGTTAGTAGAGGGTAGGCAGGGGGCAGGGCCGTGCACAATCCCAGAAAAGCGGCAGGAATGTCCTTCCTGCGGGTGATTCACCCGGGGCCTCTCCTGCTCCCACCTGCCTGCTGGGTCCTGGGAGAGGCCCGCAGGTTTCGGGGACTTCCCGGGCTGAGGCGCGGAGAGCCCCCTGCGGGGGGGGGAGGCGGAGAGGGGTCAGGGAAAGCAAAGGCGAGGCCACAGACGGACTGATGCAGGGGAATCAGGGAGGGAGAGAAATGCAAATGAGACAGAGGGAGAACAAATGAGAGACAAGGACAGAGACAGCGAGAAACAGAGGGACTCACAGAGAGAGACAGATGGACAGGGAGACAGAGATTGACAGAGGAAGTTAGCGAGAGGGCCACCACTTGCCCTCAAAGAGAGAAGAGCAGAGACACAGAGGGACAGACGTCATGCGTGTGAGTGTCTGCCTGGGACCTGCTGAGCCTCTGGCCACCGCCCTGAGGAAGGGACCCCCCTCCGGCCTGGGCTGACGTCGTGGCCATTTCTAACCCCAGGCCTAGTTGACAACACTGATGTCTACCTCCTCTCAGGAAAATCCCTCTGCAAAAGCCCGGCTGACAGGAGAGGGACCACCCCAGGGAGTGAAAGAGCTGGGAAGTCCTGGAGTCCATACCCTCTTCCCCCCCATTTTCCAGATGGAGAAATGGAGGCTCTCCCCTGCCGATTTGCTTCATGCTTGTGCTGGGCGGGGCACTGTTCCGAGTGCCTTCTCTGTATGCCCTGGTGAGTCCTGACAGTGTCCCGTCTTATAGCCGAGGACACGGAGGGTTGGAGAGGTATGTTTGGCTGAATGTGGCTCTGAAGATATCCACATCCTGAATCCTGGGACCTGTGACTGTTACCTGATGTGAAAAAAAAAAAAAAAAAAAAAAAAAAAAGGTCTTTGGCATGTGATTAAGTCAAGGGTTTTTTGTTTTTAAGATTTTATTTACTTATTTTTAGACAGGGAGTAAGAGAGGGAAAGAAATGTCAATGTGTGGTTGCCCCTACTGTACCTCTGTCCCACAACCCAGGCCTGTGTCCTGACTGGGAATCAAACCAGCAACCCTTTGGTTCACAGGCCAACACTCAAGCCACTGAGCCACACCAACCAGGGCTAAGTGAGGGGTTTTAAGATGGGGTATTATCCTGATGATCCAGGTGGGCCCTAAATGCATCACGGGTGTCCTTACAGGGGAGGCTGGTGGATAGTTCGCTGTGGAGAGAAGCTGAGGAAAACAGGGCCAGAGAGAGCAGATGCTTTGCTGCTGGTCCTGAAGCTGGAGGAAGAGGCCAAAAGCAAAGGAATGCAAGGGGTACAGCTCTCCCTACTGGGAAGGGAAGGAGACCACTGTACCCCTAGAACCTCTCCAGGGAGCGCTGCCCTGCCGATACCTTGCTTTCGGCCCCTGAAGACTCACTGGAGATTTCTGACCTGCAGTGCCATCAGAGAACAAAATCCTGTTGTTTTAAAGCTACTAAGTGCGTGGTCATTTATGACAACGACAATAAGAAGCTAATACAACCAGTTAAGTCACTTGCCTAGGAAGACCTGCAAGGATGAAGTCAGCATGACTTGGACCCAAGCAAACACCCAGGCTAAGGGCTGCTAGTCCTGGCGGGGAAGGCGGGTGGGGGCAGCAAGTGCCAGGAACTAGAAGCCCCCAGCCTCTCTCCATCCCTCCTCCACCGGTCCTCGTTGCCACGTCTCTCTCTGGCTCCATGGGGTCGGGGTGACTTGGGGAGAAGATGGGGGTCCAGAAGAGGGAAAAACTGCAGAGAGTGTGCAGAGTGGTTGGTTGCCTCTAGCACTTTGCAGCTCAAGCTCCAGCAGAGCAGAAATAATCATTGCAATTCAAGAGCTGCTAGAGTTCCTGTTAGGGGGTTGAACTGTGCTCCTGCCTCTGGATGGAAGGAAGGAAGGAAGGAAGGAAGGAAGGAAGGAAGGAAGGGAGGGAGGGAGGGAGGGAGGGAGGGAGGGAGGGAGGGAGGGAGGGAGGGAGGGAGGGAGGAGAGAGAGAAGGATGCTAAAATCCTGGCTTTCAGCACTCAGAATGTGACCTTATTTGGAAATAGGGTTTGGCCTACGTGATTAGTTAAGATGAGCTCATACTGAAGTAGGGTGGACCCTAATCCACGGGACTGGTGTGGTTTGTAAAACAGAGAAGTGGAAGAAGACCCCCCTGGTGATGAAAGCAGAGATGGGCGTTAGGCAGCGGCCAGCAGAGGAACGCTGAGGATGGCCAGCACACCCCTGGAGCCCGGCAGGAGGCGAGGAAGGGTGCCCGTACGCGGCTTCAGAGAAGCACAGTCCTGTGGCCCGCCCCTCGATTTGGGGTTTCCAGCTTCCAGTTTGCAAGACAATGCATTTCCGTTGTTTTAAGCCACCCGGCCTTGTGACACTTTGTGGCAGCAGCCCCAGGAAATTCACGCAGCTGCTGTGAATCAATAGAAAAATTAGCCAAGGGCAGAAAAAGGAAGGGCCTGTGATTCCTCTAAAAATGGCACTAACACAGGGTGCGCATCGGTTGGTGTTTGCCGAGTTGCGCCACCCCAGCAGTTAGCGGCTGAAAAACGGGCAGACGTTACGGCTCCAGATTCTGTGGGGTGGCTGGGCCCAGCTGGTGGCCTGGGATGGCCTTGGGTGGCCTCAGTCAAAAGTCCTCAGCTGGGCTGGCTGGGGTGCCCAGAGCCTCTCCCTGAATGTCCTCGCATCCTGCAGGAGGCAAGTTCATTCACAGCAAGGGTTCCCCGCGGCAAGGAATTTATAACTTTTAAAAAAAAATTCTCACCTGAGGATATGTTCAATGATTTTAGAGAGAGGAGGAGAGAGAGAGAATGAGAAACTGGTTGGTTGCCTCCTGCATGTACCCCAACCATGAATCGACCCCGCAGCCCAGGCATGTGCCCTGACCTGGGATCAAAACTGCAACATTTGGCCCTGGCTGGTGTAGCTCAGTGGATTGAGCTCAGGCCTGCAAACCAAAGGATCGCAGTTTGATTCCACTCAGGGCACATGCCTGGGTTGCAGGCCAGTTTCCAGGGACACACGAGGGGCAACCATACATTGATATTTCTCTCCCTCTCTCCTTCCCTTCCCCTCTAAACATAAATAAATAAAATCTTTTTAAAAAACGGCAACATTTGGAGGCACGGGATGACGCTCCATCCAACTGTGTCCTCCCACCCCACCCCCAGCCAGAGCCCCCGTAGCAAGAAATTTGCAATAGAGGCTGCAAATTTCTTTGAGTCTGAGGCTCGGAATGCATTTGACAACACTTCCATCACATTCCAAGTCGGAGCAAGTTCTGAGAGCAGCTCAGAGGTGAGGAGAGGGAAAGGGACCCCACCTCTTGATGGAAGGAGCTGCACAGAGTTCATGGCCATTTGCATCCGCCCACCCACCTTTCCACCTACAGATCGGTACTGGGTACTTGGAGTTGGCCGGTTTGCAGGGAAGCAGACACGCCCCTTCACCGCAGGTGGGACCGGTAGGACCCCATGGAGGGTCGTTTTGCAATTGCTCCCGAAACCACAAACCTTCTGACACAGCAAAACCATTCACTTACTCACTCCTCAGGGGAATGTGCTGTATGTATCAAGTGGTTCGGGCACAAAGTACCTTCTTCTCCTCTTTTTCTTTCTTCAAAGAATAGTCTATCGATTTTATTCTTAGAGAGAGGGGACAGTAGGGAGAAAGAGAGGGCAAGAAACATCCATGTGTGAGAGGAATGTCGACTGGTTGCCTCGCATGTGCCCCATTCAAGGACCAGGCCCACAGGCCAGGCATGTGCCCCGACCAGGAACTGAGCCGGCGACTTTTGACTTTGAGGGATGACGCTGAGAACCCAAGGAGCCTTGTCGGCCCGGGGCCCCGGGCCCAAAGTTCTTCACTGCAATGTAGTTTGTAACACCAAGTGATGAAAAATAGCTAACTGTACGAGCAGTACTTCTGTCCAACAGAAAACAGTAAGAGGAAACTACGTAATTCAGGTCTCATTACGTCAAGTGGAAAAGTCCGTGGACACAGTCCTGAGTAGCGCACCCTGTGGTCTGTGGATAAAACAGGGTGCGAAGGTCCGCGTTCGCTTGAAAATGCATTAAACGACGCCTCCAGGTTCCAAATCAAGGGCCAGGAAATGTCCCTGGTCTGCTTCCCTGCCCTTCCCGTCCTTTCTCCCGCAGGCCTCAAGTTTGCCCAGATTGTGATCTGTTTATCCAGCCTGGGTTATCAGAGAACTTTCAGGAGACTGGATTCTTTCAGTCGAGAAGCACTGGGAGCCGCTCCTACCTCCCCAGCTCCAGACGCCAGATTGGGGGACCTGCTCCTGCTTCTTCCCACCAATCCTGGACCCAGGGGCTCTGGATTTACCCGGAAGGAAGTGGCCTTTCTCCCCAGACTTCTCCCTGCTGCGGCACCTTACCAGGAAAAGCCACCCCCAGGATCCTATCTTTTCCCCCCTAGGCTTGGCACCTTCCAAAGCAAGCTCCTTGACTGCACACAGAGAGTGGGGTCCCCGCCCTGGAGTCTGGGAAGCACGACAGGCCTGCAGAGTCACCTCGGATGGGTCCTTTCCCTGGCTGGGGATTCCTCGGAGCCCAGGAGAGAGGCCGGCCCCGGCTTGAAGGGTCTGCTGCTCGATTAGGAGGGGAGTGCATAGCACCTACAGCCCTCAGCGCTCTGCACGTATCCACTCAGTCAACCCTCACGGCCCTCAGACACAGGCCCTCCTGACCGCCCGGGTTGACAAATGAGGGGACTGAGGCTCGGGGAGGGAGGTGAAATGTCTGCCCAAGGCCATCCAGCTTGAAGCGGTAGAACTGGAATTTGAACCCAGGCCACCTGGCTCCGCGGTACCTGCCTGAGCATCACTAGTGAGAATCCCCGTAGCCCCCAGGGAGCCGCCATTTGTCCTGGGCTCACTGAGGCCCTGGATGGGCTGAGTTAGTGGATGAACACGACAAGACCCCAGAGCTGTATCTCAAAGGAGAGGCAGGTGCAGGGCAGGTGGGAAGACTCAAAGATCGCGGAGAGGGGACCCTGACAGAGACCAAGCTTTAGGGCTGGAGAGCTGCTCGTGGTGGAGATCGACCTTACTCCGCGCCCCTCCCCCCCCACCCCAGGGACCATTTGCACAAGCCCAGGATGCCCAGTCAGGGGCAGGGAGGGGCAGGTGAGCCATGTAGGCCTCAGCTCATGTGGCCAGGGAAGGTGGGGGGGCTGTCCTCCCCTCCCCTTTGCGAAGGCTAGCGGTCATGTCGAAGAGGCTTGGGTTCCAATTCTGACTGTGCTACCATCCTTACTTCATGGCCTTGGACAACGAGGCTCAGCTCCCTTCTCTGTAAAATGGGGAGATTCAGGGCTGATGTCAGCTGTACCCGTTGTTAAACTGGCGAGCTGCTTCCGGTTTTGGTTGGTGACAACGCGCTAGCCAAAACCCTGAGTGCCCCCCATGGCATGTCTGGGAGAACTCAGACACCCCCTGTTCCGGCAACCAAAAGAGAACCTCCCGGTGAGTGGCAGCCACCAGGATGCCTCTCTAGCAACCTGGCAGAGCTGTCACTGCCGCATGACCTGGCCCATACTGACTGACGGGCAAATATTCCCAGTGTCCCTGCTGGGGTTAACGGTAACGGCATGGAAGACTGATGCGAGGAGTCAGTCAGTTACCGTCTCTCCGGAATGACCAGGCAACCTGTTAATCATCAGAATAATAATGACAGCCACTTGTTCGTCTTCCCTCTTTGGCTTCACTGAGTAGCCCGGGACTTCACCCGCATGCCTCCTGGGACTCAGTTTCCCCATCCCCACGTTCCCTAAGCCCCCTTCCTCGCCACACGCCCCAGTAGGCCAGGGTGGTGGGTGGAGCTGCTATCGCCCCAGACTATTTGCTCTCCCTCCTCACGGGCTGCCAGCCCAGCCCAGGACCTTGGATAAAAGGCCAGGGCACCCGTATCCTGCTTCCTCCTCTCCGGCCTGGATCATGCTCCGGCTCCTCCCTGCTCTGGTGCTCCTCGGAGCGCTGGCCACCTCAGCAGGTAGGCGCATTGCACTGGGTCCCTCGGAGTGATCACCGGCCCACCATCCCATGGGCGGTGTCTGTTGGGCTTTTGAGACTGAGCCCCAGCTCCTTTCACCTCTGCTTTTTGCCTCCCTGAGGCAGCTGAAGAAAGTGTTTGAGCCCTGGCTGGTGTAGCTCAGTGGATTGAGCGCGGGCCTGCGAACCAGACAATCGCGGTTTGATTCCCAATCAGGGCACATTCCTGGGTTGCAGGCCAGTTCCCTGCAAACCAATTCCCAGCAGGGGACGCACAAAAAGCAACCATACATTGATGTTTCTCTCCCTCTCTCCTTCCCTTTCTCTCTAAAAGATAAATAAATAAAATCTTTTTAAAAAAAAAAAAAGAAAGTGTTTGAGAGCATGGTTCTGGAGCCAGGCTGTCTGGGTTCAAATCCTGGCTCTGACACTTCTTAGCTGTGTGACCTCAGGCAAGCTACTTAACCTCTCTGTGGTCCCGTTCCCCTTCTATGAAGTGAGGGTGATAAGGACCGTGCCTCAGAGGGTTGTTCATTGAATCAATATGTTTGAGGAACTTTTTAAGGGCCCAGAATAGTATCAGGCCATATTACATATTAGGCCTGTCTGCAGGGGAGTTCTTATTGATAGTCAGGAGTAATTTATACGATTCCTTTACCTCACCTGCCTTTCTGCCCTTTTGGTTCTAAATCTGCCACTGTTGGCCCAGGCTGGGAATTAAACAGCCTGGAACCCAGCCGGGATCCCACTGTGTGACCTTGGGTGGCCGCTCTGTCCTTCTGAGGAAGGGCAGCCGTCTTCAGCCTGGGCTCCCGAGAGCCATGAGGCTTCTTGCAAGAGCCTCAGGGCCCCTCTGGAGGTCAAGAAGAAGGCTGGCTGGACCAAGGGGGTTCCCTCCCAGCCCAGCCTAAGAAGGGGAATTCCACTGAAGCCTGTTCCTTTCTGGGCTTGCAAGGTCGCTGTTATTTGGGGAAAGAGCTACCCGGTGAGCACTGGCCGGTCTGGTGGAGATTGCACACAGCCCCAGCCTGGCGACGCTCATGCTCACCTCCAAACCTTTGCCCACACTGCTCCACCCACCCAGAAGCCCTTCGCACACCTCCAGGAGAATGCTCCTTGATCTTCTCCCAACAGCCCCCACCGCCCCCCACGCCGCATGCACCAGCCACAGGGCCTGTTCTTGAATCCTGTGTGTGTGTGTGTGTGTGTGTGTGTGTGTGTGTGTGTGTGTCTTCCTCTCTCTCCTTCTCAAAGCTCAGGGTCTCATCACTCCTCTCCCCCTACAGGGACCTCCAAGACGTGTCCATCCTGCTCTCTTCTGGGAAAATGTAGAGAGATCCCTTGTCCTTCCACCCAGGACTCCTGCCTGTTCAGCCAGATGCAGCTGGGTGTGGACCGCACAGGGCTGGGCAGAGAGGCTGGTTGAAGTGGGTGGGCTGGGGTCAGAGGGGAGAGGCATGGACCAGCCAACCCTGGGGCTGGAGGGGCCGAACTTTGCCTCACAGCTCAGCTCCACGTCTCTGGGGTGGGGGGCAGGGGTGGTCCCGGGTCGACCTTTGGGCATTGCTACTGAAAGGGCAGAGGTCTGGGAAGGCTGGGGGGGGGCCCTCTAATCTCCCCTCCTCCACCTCTACCCCCAGAAAATGGGCTTCTCATCAAGAACGGGTCATGCGTGGCCCCTGAGAAATGCCGAGAAAGCGTCTACACCCTGACCTACGCCCCCCACTTCAGTGTCTGGGTCAGCACGAGCTGTTGTGACAACAACTGCAGCCAGGTTGTGACACAGCCAGGTTTGTCACATGGCTGGGTGGGGCGTCACGGAAACCGGGCCTTGGTTTCGTCATCTGGGAAATGGGTGTGACGTAAGTTTTACAAGGAGTGCGTCCACTACGAAGCTGGAATGTAGTAGGCACTTCATCAATGATTGAGTCACTGGGGGGCTGGAGAGAAGCTCCGATTCTTATTTCTCCTGAGGAGGGGGGGCTCCCCCGAAGGTGAGTTAAGCAGAACAAGCAATGTTACTGGTGGTCACAGCCCAGGTGAGGCGAGGCCCGCGAGGGGCCTGGGACGCAGAACTGAAAGGGGCACTCACCTGAAGGGGGCGCTCACCCTCACGGGCTGACTGCGCGCCGGCACAACCCTGACAGTGAGCGGCTCCTTGCTGGCCTCACTCTAGGCCTGGCCCCAAGCGGCGATAAAGATTACTGTTTGTAATTGGTAGTTTCTCCAAAGAAAGGATTGGCATTTGGCTGAGGTCGCAAGGGGGAGGCCTGAGACAGTGCCACACTTGGGGCCTACTAGCCGTCCTTTCAAACTATCGGGGTGTCCATCCTCCTAAAGTGTGCGCTTCAACAACAACAACAAAAAACCCAGCCAAAACCCCCAGCTGAGTCCAGCTTGAGAGGCAGGCAGGCTATTTAGAACATGGAATGTCAGTGATGATTAAAACTGCATTGACCAAAACCCCTATGGGTGAAGGAGGATCAAAGGGACTACCCCCAAATCCAGTAATTTCCTCCTGGTAGAGGAGAGATAGCCGCACCGCGCAGTAGAAATATGTTCGCTCTATGCATAATGAAAGCTTTTCACGTGGCCACATTAAAAAGTTAACAAACAGGCGAAATTAATTTTATTTTATTTTATTTATTTATTTATTTTAAAGATTTTATTTATTTATCTGTAGAGGGGAAGGGAAGGAGAGAGGGAGAGAAACATCAGTGTATGGTTGCCTTCGTGCATCCCCTGCTGGGAACTGGCCTGCAGGGAACCGGCCAGCAACCCGGTATGTGCCCTGACTGGGATTCGAACTGCGATTGTCTGGTTCGCAGGCCCGAGCTCAATCCACTGAGCTACACCAGCCAGGGCTGCGAAATTAATTTTAACAATACATTTTATTTCATATAACATACCTAAAATATTATTTTAGCATGTGTCCAATCGATACAATCTTTTGAATGAGAGATTTTTACACGCTTTCTTCAAACGAAGCCTCTAAAATGAGGGTGTATCTTACACCCACGGCACATCACGAGAGGAACCAGCCATGTTTCGAGGGCTCCAGAGTCACTCGTGGGCATCGGCCACGAATTAGCCAGCACAGTTCATAGTTATGGGGTTTTTTTTAGTCTGTTTTTCTGTATTTGCCAATATTTCTATATAAACACACATTAAAATGCTTCGTGGCTTAGTTCTGACTCAGGAAAAATATGCTCGAACAGCTTCCTCTGAAATGTTTCAGATCTCTAAGAAAGCTCTGAAAATTCATCAGATGGCGGAGAAGCCAGAGGAGGCAATCCCGCTCTTTTGCAGAATGCCACAATCTCTTAAAACCTAAAATAACAGGATCGCTTTTTAACCCCTTTTCAAGGTTCAGGTCTTTAAGGCAAGGCTTTTGTCTATTCAGTGCCGTGTCTCCGGAAGAGGGCCCGGTACACGGTAGGCGCTCAGGAAATGTTTGTAGGGTCCAGCAGGAAGGATTGTTTAGGACAAGCAAAGAAGCTTCTGCCAGCCCCACCCAGGGCTCTGTTTGCTGTTCCTGGAAATAAGCCTTCAGGGGCCAGGAGGAGGTGACCCAGACCAGGCTGGCCCCCCTTTGGAGGAAAATGCTCTGGACTGTGGAGGGTGGGGCAGCAAGAGCAGAGGGCTGGTGGGGGCAGGAGGGCCCAGAGCGGCTGAGCCTCAGCCTCTGCCCCACCCCAACTGTTCCCACTCCCACCAGAGCAAAAGCCCGAAGCCCAGCCCAACGGGGTGAAGTGTCACTACTGCTCGGAGAAGGAGCTGGCCCTGTGCGACTCCCTCTTGGTCATGAACTGCACCGGGTACCAGAACGTCTGTGTCACCCTCGAAGGGACATGGGACGGAGGTAAGGGCTTCCTTCAGGAGGTCGTTTGCATGGCGAGCCTCCCTCCCACCGGCTCTTTGCATGGGTGTTCTGGTTGCTTGTGGCTATTTAACAAATCACTTGCAAAGGCAGGGGCCCACCACGAGAACAACTGTTTGATTAAGTCGTGGTTTCTGTGGGTTGGGGGTTCCTCAAGGGCTCCGCTGGACAGTTCTGGGTCTCCCATGTGGTTGCCGTCAGAAGGCGGGGAGCCAGAACTGCGGGGCTGAGGGCAGCCAGGGGCTGGCTGAGCATCTCTGCCACCCACGTGGACTCGGGGCCCGTCCGTGTGGTCTCTCCACATTGGCGAGCTCGGGCTTCCTCTTATCATGGCTGCCACCACCTGGACATGGTGGCCGAAGTCTTCGAGAGCAAGTATTCCAGCAAACAAAGTGGCAGCTGCTGCGTGGTCCGTGACGGCCCTGGAAGTCACACGGTGTCCCTTCTACCAAGCTGCACTGGTTGAAACAGTCACAAAGGTCCATTTGGTTTCAAAGGAGGAGGCGTAGACCCTCACCTCTCGCGGTTTCAAAGAATTTGCAGACATGTTTTAAAGCCCCCACTCTTGTGTTTGCAAAAGTTTGGAGCAGAGGCTTTTTGAACAAAGGGCTCGGAATAGAACCACAATGACCAGAGCATACACTAACTACGAAGCCAACAAAGCAACAGAGAGAAGTGGCCTGGGCTTCTGCTCCTGACGGCACGATGGACTAGATCCTTCGGAGGGTCTTCTTGTTACAAACAGTGGCGTCCTGGGAGGGTGGGGCGGGGGCGCAGGAGCGGCGGGAGTGGGGCTGGGATGAGTGTTTTGCCACTGCCGTTGTTTAGAGGTGCAGGTACGTGGTGATAATGACAAGCAGATCGATGTTCAGTCTGCTTCATTATCGCTTCTGAACCCTGTATAGACAATACACTTCCTTAGAGCCTGTTCCCAGGGCAGATTGCTCCCATTACCCACCTCCCTTGGTAAGCCTCTTCTTACAGATGACCTGGGTGCTGTACCCGAATCCTTCTCCCTGCTTTTGGGAGCTTACAGGAAGTTAGGGAAATCCCCAAGGGTCTCCGAACCAAAGAAAAGCGTTAACGGAAATCGGAAATGAGAGCAGTGAGCACGCACGGGAAGGCACAGTGACCCTGAGAGGGAACGCCAGTAACAGCCTGCCGTGTGTGGGTGCCGAGCTCTTAGGCTGGCAGCGTAGCTGGGGCGCTGACCCTTAGACTCCCACACATGCCAGGGCCCGTGGAAGGAAGCTGAAATGACCCCAGGCTGGCAGCACCTCCCGGCTCTCGGTATAAGCCAAGGAAAGTCCTCTCCAGAGACGGGCCACCAGATCTTCTGCAGATCAACACCGACCAAATGTGAGCTCCTGAAATGCACAAGGGAGCAAGCCACCAGGAGCGACAGCAGGAGCAAGGAACCCAGCTGCTGTGGTTATCAGCTCCAGCACGGAACTGTAGGCGACACGTTTGAAGGAGCAGAGTTAGAATCACGACAATGAGCAGGCAGCAACAGGCTGTAAGAAATGACCAGGCATGTTTGAAAAGGAGTCATCTAGAAGCATCGGGAAAGACGGAAAGACAGACCCCAAGCTGCAACACTCAGGCTTTGAGTCCCCCCTGAAGCTTCCCCTTGTTTCTGCAGCAGGTCCACAAACCCTGAAGGGCTGCGCCACCCCAGAGGTGTGCGACCTGCAAGTGAACACCACCCTGGGCCCGGAAGCCTTTGGATTTCATCTCACAAGCCCACCTGAATGCTACTCCGAGGCTGCTCCCACCTCGCCAGGTGCTTTGAACCTTAACTTTCTTTTTCTTTTTTTTTATTTTTCTTTTTATTATTTTTATTTTTGTTTTATTTATTTTTATTTTTTAATTTTTAATTTTTTTATTATTTCTTATGAACCTTGACTTTCTGAGACCCTTCCCTCTCTGCTCTCCCCAGATGCCACTTGTCCTTCCCCATCCTGCATGTCCCCAGGGTATCCTGTCCCTCTACTATAATGGTCCCAGGGAGTGTAATAACTTATAGGCACCCGCATGCGCGCACACACACACACACACACACACACACACACCCCACCTGACACACCCAGAAGCGGAAAATCCCATTGGTACATATCCACACATCCACACACACTCACATTGATATTCTGGCGCCCAAAACACTCCGACAGAGGAGCATGCACTTCTAACCACGAACATCCTGTGGTGTTAAGTGACATGAGATGTCAACTCGGTTTTTTAAATAAGAAATCTTCCCTTCCTTCCCTTTCTTGCTTATGCAAAAGACAAATTTGCCAACAGTCTCCTTTGGGCTTAAAAGAGAACACTGACAATAATTTTTATCTTTCAGAAAAGAGAGATGCTGATTGAGATAGTGCTTATCAGGGCAGCAGCTTTCTAAGTGAGACATCGGAACAGAATTACAGATGTTTCAGGGGCGATAAAGGAAATTTCCAAACCTGGGTAGCACGGCATCTCTTCCACTCCGGGGACACAGGAGATGCTTTGGTAGAACCCGCGGGGCGAGGACAGTTCTCTGAGGCAGAAGATTTTCTTAATGAATCTGCAGGCGAAGAGGGAATATTCTTACCTTTGCTTCCTCAGATTACCACCTGCTAGGAGTTTTTGTCTCAAACCTAAACAGTGAATGAAATTCATTGTCCCAGTGAAGGACAGGTAGATTGGGGAGCTCAAAATTTTACAATATGGAGAGGAGAAACGTGCAAAACAGGATTTCCTAACAACCGGAACAAGGGCCGTGGAGTTCTGCACATGCAGTTCCTGTGGACCCATCACACACCCGGGCAGGGGACTCCTCGTCTGTCAGATCCAGACAAGTGTAGACTGGGGGAGAGACAGGCACAAGCACAGCACACTCACAGACACACCGCAACACGCCAGCCTCCACAAACGTTCACATCTGTACGCTGGCACGTAGTGTCTCCAAGCACCCCACGCCTGGCTGGAAACACAGACACACTCAGACACACCCAGGCACGCACACACACACAGGGTGTCCTCCAGCAGCCCCCCTCTCTCTCCCTGCAGTTCCCCAGGCAACCCTGACCCAGGCCAAGGCTAAGGTCACCACCTGCTTCACCTGCTCCAACAGCTCCCACTGTGAGCCTTTCTCCTGCCCGGCAGATAAGAACTACTGCCTTCAGACGGAGGGCTTCCTGGGTGAGTGTCCTGGGGACAGGTGAGGGGAGGCAGAAGCGGGGCCTGAGGCACAGCCAGGCCCCTCGCTGCCACCCCCGCAGGGGTCTGCTGCCTGTACTGGCGTCACAGTAACCTCTTCCTGGCCATGGGGGACAGAGGCTGGTGGCAGGGGAGGATGCGAGTTTAAAATCTGAGGCCACATTTGTTTGGCGATATAGTGCTAATAAGTCAACTCATTACATAGGCCTGACAAACAGTAATGAACTCAGAGATACAGACAGCAAACCGGTGGTCAACAGGTAGGACACAGCGTGGGGGGCCGGGTGAGAAAGGGATTCAGAGGCACGAATTGCCAGTTATTAAACTGGTCACGGGGACGTAAGTACAGCATAGGGAGGAATACAGACAATGATATTGTAATAACAATGTGTGGTGTCAGATGGATACTGGACTTACTGGTGTGACCACTTTGTAAGATATCTAAATGCCTAACCACTATGTCGTGAAAGTAATATAATATTGTATGCCAACTGTAATTGAAAAATAATTTTTAAAGAAGTCATGGCTTCACCCCAAAAGGACAAATACCATATGATTCCACTCCTATGAGGATGGGAAGTAGTCAGAATCACGGGGAAAAAAGGCAGCACGGTGTGGAAAGGTGGGTTCGGCATCATTGTTTGATGGGTAGAGGGTTTTAGTTTTGCAAAATGAAAACTTTCTCGAGATCTTCACCTACAAATAAAACCTAGTCACAAAAGCACACAAGCAAGAGAATACAACCAGAGACATTGAAATTAAGAACTGACAGTAACCAGAGGGGAGGGGATACTAAGGGGAAAAAAGGGAAGGAGTGTCAGGAATAAGTATAAAGGACACATGGACAAAACCAAGAGGGGGTGGGATCAGGGGTGGGAGATGGGGATGGCTGGTCTCCGGTAGAGTAGTGGGGGAAAATGGGGACAACTGTACTTGAACGACAAGAAAAAAATGAAGGTAAAAAAATTTCTAGCGATCTGTTTCACAACCATGTTAATATACTTAACACTACTGAATTTTACACTTAAAAATAGTTTAAGATGGTAAATTTTTTAAATTAATTAATTTATTTTTAGAGTGAGGGAAAGGGAAGGAGATAGAGAGGGAGAGAAACATCAAGGTGTGGTTGCCTCTCATGCGCCCCCTACTGGGGACCTGGCCTGCAACCCAGGCATGTGCCCTGACTGGGAATCAAACTGGCGATGCTTTGGTTCACAAGCCTGCGCTCAATCCACTGAGCCGCACTGGCCGGGGCAGATGGTAAATTTTATAACTTTTTTTTTTTTTTACCACAATTTGAAAAAAAAACAATGATTTTTATTTCCCACCATTCTGCGGCTTGACTGGGCTCAGCTGGGCGATTCTTCTGCTCCAGGGAGTGAAGGCTGAGGTCACATAAATGGCTGCATTCAGCCGGGAACTGACTGGGGCTGGAATGTTCAATTCAGCCTCTCAGTTTCTGGATCCTCTCTCCAACCCGTCTCTCATTAGGCTGCAGCCTAGCTGAGCTTCCTTACAGTGTGGTGGCTGCCTCCCCCCGAAGACGGAAGTGGAAACCAGTAACTCCTTAAGCATTAAGCCCAGAACCAGCACAGGGTCACTTCTGCCAGAGTCTATAGATCAGAGCCAGTCACGAGGCCAGCTCAGATGTAAGGGGCGAGGACATAGATTCCGCCTCCTGATACGGGAGTGGGAAGGTCCTGTTGCCAAAAAAGCGTGTGGGGTGGGAGACTCAGTGCGGCCATCCCGATATCTACTGCAACTTTCTGGGCAGGGAGTCCCCAAACTCCCCTGTCCATCTGTCTCTTGAAGGGAAAAATAGCACATTTCTGTAAATGGCAAGAGGAGTTGAGCTAGAAACAAGACTTTCTTGGGTATAGATTCCAAGATGCACAGAAATAGCATAAGTAGGAATAGTAAGGATCCTGGACCAGGCTGGGCGTTTCCGGGGTCCTAGAGAAGTTTCTGGCTGAGGGCCTGAGGTGCTCAGAGACCGGCCGGGGAGAGGTCGCAGCGGCAAAACTACCTCTCCATTGGAATCCTAAGGGGAGAGGGCAGGGGTGAACAATGCAGGCTTTGGGAGCATGGGGATGACCTCAGGCAGAGCGAGCGCCCGCAGTGACACCCAGAGGGCTCTGGGGGGCGCTGCGAAGTGGCGGCTGGCGATCGCTCTTCCTCACCAGTCTGCCCCCAACCGCTCCAGCCCTAGCAGAAGGCAACCCCGTGGCCTGGAGAAACGGCTCCTGCGTGGCCCCCAAGGACTGCAAGCCCGACAGCCTCATCTCCTCCCTGACCTACAGCAACAGCTTTGGCTTCTGGATCAACACCACCTGTTGCCAAGGCAACTGCCAGAAGCCCACTCTTCTCAGTATGCTGCCACCAGAAAGCAGTCACATGGGTGGCTAAGGAGGTGGCGGGGTGACTGGCGGGGGTGGGGGTGGGAGTTTGTCCTGGGTTGGAGAAGGCCTCACTTAACCCCCATTCCCCAGGCAGGCTGCCCTAGGCTCCTGGACCCCAGCCCGGTGGGAAAGCCCATTCCAGTCAGCCCCCTGTGGTAGAGCCATGAGTGCACGGAGGGCCCTCAGAGGCCCCGAGAGTCCTCCCGGCTGACCGTCACCCTGCTTCACACAGCAGCTCTGCCGGTTTCCCGCACCCTCAGCAAGTTCCTGTGTCCTACGTGCGCTGACAGCCACCTGGGGCTCTGCAATTCCTCCTTCTACATGCAGTGTCCCTGCGGGGAGACCGAGTGTGTCCAGCTGGACGTGGCGTCTGAAGAAGGTAATGCGTGTGGACATGCGCGCGCAGGGGGGCGTGAGTGAGCCTGCGCGCCCTGCCTTTGGGAAAGGCATGCTTGAGTCTGGGGTCCCCCCTCTATCATTTGCTCTGTGTGACCCAAGATAAGTGCATGTCACCGAGCCTCACTTTTATCTCCTGGTAAGTGGCAGTGCCAGAAGCACACCTCACAGGGGGTGATGAGGACAAAGTGAGTTCATGAGAGACACGATAGAGCAGAGGGCATAAAGCCAGAGTCTGGGGTCAGGCTGCCCGGGGTCAAATCCCGAATCTATACCACGCATGAGCTGGGCGGCTGTGGGCAGGAGACTTTGCCTCTCACTCAATTTCCCGCCTGAGGATATTCCAATTCAGAGCAAAAGGAGACAAAGGCGGGATAATTACAGTCCCTGACTCATAAGGCTGTTGTGAGAAGGAAGATAATCCACGGGATTTCCAGATGAGTGCTCTGCAAGAGAAATATGTGAGCCATGTGTGTGATTTAATTTTTTCTAGTAGCCGCATTAAAAACTACAAAGTAACAGGCCCTGGCTGGTGTGGCTCAGTGGACTGAGTGCCTGCCTTCGAATCTAACTGCCTGCCAGTTTGATTCCCAGGCAGGGCACACGCCTGGGTTGTTGGCCAGGTTCCCATTCGGGGGCATGAGAGAGGCAACCAGTCAATGTATCTCTCACACATCGGTTTTTCTCTCTGTCTCCTTCTCCCTCCTTTCCTCTCTCTCTAGAAATAAATAAATAATCTTTAAAAGAGTACAAAGTAACAGATGAAGTTAATGTAATAGTATATTTTCTTTTTAACCCAATATATCCAACAGCTATCATGGCAACATGCGACCGATATAAGAAATTATAATGAGCTAACTCTTACATGCAGTCTCTCCTACTAAGCCCTTGAAATCTGGTGCGGATTTGACACTCACAGCCCTTCCCAAGTCAAACAGGCCCCATCTCAGCAGGCACATGTGGCCAGGGGCTGCTGTCCTGAACCGCATTATTCTAGAACACAGCAAGCATGGGTTTATGGCATGGCAGCAAATTTCAGATGATTTTGAGGGGGACACAGGAAGACAGCTTGACTCAGAGATGTTGAAACATGTGTGTGGGTAGGAGGAAGGATGTGCATCTCAGAACTGATGGGATTCAAGGGCTGTGGTCACGGCTCTGCTGGGCGGGCAAGGCCTGCGTGCAGTGGACAGGCCGGCAACCAGCAGCGCTCAGGGACTGGACGTGTGGAGGAACTTGGGTGTGTGTCCGTGTGTGTGTGTGTGTGTGTGTTCCCTGGACAAGGTGGCTTGGTGTGTTTGTGTCGACTGTGGGGGAGGGGCTTCTGGGGGCATCAGGGGGGCTGTATGTGATTGACACGTGAAAGTGGCAGGGCCTGAGGGTGGGCGTAAGGCGTCTCACAGATGGGGCTCTTTGAGGAAGTACATTCCAATTCAGGGCTAAATGAGACAAAGGCAGGCTGTGCTGTGAGGCTTACAACTTTTGTATTATGGAGAAGTTCAGAGATAAATAAAAGAGGAAACACTTTATTTTTTTTAAGGTTTCCTTTATATTTAGAGAGAGGGAAAGGGAGAGAGAGAGGGAAACATCGATATGTGGTTGCCTCTCGCACGCCCCCTACTGGGGACGTGGCCCCCAACCCAAGCACGTACCCTGACTGGGAATCGAAATGGCGACCCTTTGGTTCACAGACCTGCACTCAACCCACTGAGCTACACCAGCCAGGGCCAGAGGCAGCAGTTTAGTAAAGCCCATGTCCCCTTCACCCAGCCAACGCCAATAATTATCCACTCACGGCCAGTCCTCTTGCGTGTTCACATTACTTTGAACACAAACTCGGATTTCCTATCACTTCAGCCGTAAGGATTTCCATCCATATCCCTACAAGATAAGGACTGAAAACTGACCTCCACTTATGGTCAGGTATTTTTGTTGTTGGTGGTGGTAAAATAAGACTATTTTACTTTCCTATCCCCTTCAAGTCCTCAATAAACGGGTCACAACTGTATACCTATATTTATATGTAAATGTAATGCCATATATATAATTTATACAATATTATGTGGCTCTCAAGAAGCACAGCAAATCACTGCACATGAAGCCGTTTGGAGGGGGGTGTGGCGTAGAGTGGCCTCAGGTGTCGGTTCTTATTAATATCGGACACAAGGAAGAGCACGCCTGTAGCACGCACGTAAGGCATAAAGAGTAGCAAGGAAAAGCCAGCCGTGGCCAGGCCCCAGCCCAGGGGTCGGAACGGTCCTGCTGAGTTTCCTGACCGGCATGCATTTGAGGGCCTGCCATTCCTTCTGAGGGTGGCCATTCCCATGTTACCTTTTTTTAAAAAGCAATTTTAAAAAATATTTTTTAAATATGTTTTTAGAGAGAGAGGAGGGGAAGGAGAAAGAGATGGAAAGGAACGTCAATATGTGGTTGCGTCTCATGCGCCCCCTACTGGCGACCTGACCCACAACCCAGGCTTGTGCCCTGACGGAATGGAACCAGCAACCCTTTGGGTTAGCAGGCCGTGTTCAATCCATGGGGCTACACCAGCCAGGGCCCATGTTTCCTGTTTGATGTGACGGTTTTCTTTTCTGAAACCTCAGCGAGGCTCTGACCCTATGAAACCGGCACTCTGAGGGGCTGGAGGGAATTTCAGGGGAATTTGTTAGTTGGAGAAAACTGAAGTCTGGGGCTGCGGAGGCTGCGCTGGTGCCAGTGGGGACGCGTGCGCCCGCCCGTGCAGGAGACGCGGCCTGTGCGCGCCCTCACGTCGCGGTTCCCACCCAGTCTCCGCAGGCGGGAGCACAATAGTGCGTGGCTGCGGATCCCAAGACCTGTGCAGCACCTCAACCAGGAGAGAGGGGCTCTGGGCTCTCTTCGACCACCAGCTGACCGGCCAGTTCAAGTGCAACTCCAGCCTGCGCGCCGTCATCGACTCGGGAGCGGCACCTGGCCTCCGCCTTGCCCTGCCCGTGCTGGTGGCCGCGCTGATCACCGTGGCACTCTCCTGAGGCCCCACTCGTCGCCCGGGAGCTCCCCCGACCCCTGGTTTGGCTCACGGCTAGATGGCCCCCTGGCTCTCCTCTGCTAGGACATTTCCAGGGGCCTGGAAGGTTCTGGTGAGAGAGTCAAGAAGGGTGAGCCTTCGCCCTCAGACCAGGGCTTCCCCACGGGGGGACCCGGTCCTCACACCGTGGTCCCCAAGGCTAGTCCTGCTCCTTAACATTTAGAACTTCCCCGAGGCCGCACCTCACTCAGACTAGGCTGTTTTTCCTCCCCAGACTAGAGACGCCTCCATAATTACATGTTCTCCTCCACATCCGGAGCCTCCAAACCTAGGCCTCCGTCCCTCAAGCAGGACATCCCAACGCCAGGCTACGGCCACACACCAGGGCTGTGTCTTTTCTCCCCGGGAAACAACTCCGCCTCCTTCTGTCTCCCTCTTCAGGGTCTAGCAAAGTCCTGGGCAGCCAAGGTGGGGCTTGAGGACCAAATTCGCCGCCTCCCCAGGCATCTCAGCCATCCCTTCCACCCCCACCACCGGCCGCCTTCTGTCTGGGCTCAGTGTCACTGTTCCCACAGGGTTTGAATGAATCACATCGTACAAGCTGAGCGGTTGGGGTTTCTTTTCTTGGTGGTCGCAGCCTCAAACAGGGCCCTGAGGTGGTCTGCCCTCTCCTCTGGGGACCCGAGGGGACCTGCAGGTGACCATGTCTGCAAGCCAGGGTGGGCACGAGAGCCAAGGCTCAGTCTGGCGTGAGCATCACCTCAGAGCCCGCGTGGGACCCGGAGGATTGAGCAGAGAGGTGAAAGCGGGGCACTCACAGGAGGGAGACGGCCGGGAAGCACTCAGCGGCGAGCAGTGGACAGTCCAGCCGAGGGGACTGAAGCAATTCACTGAGCACGCATCTGACAAACATCTATGGATCCCGTTAATCAATTGAGCACAGTTCTAGACACTGGAGGGTACATAGTAAAAAATTCCTCTGCTCTCAGGAAGTTGTGTTCCGGTGGGGGAGAGAGATAATAAACATCACGTATACTAGACGGTGGTAAGTGCTGTGGAAAAACCAGCGTGGGGGCCCCTGGCTGGTGTAGCTCAGTGGAGTGAGCGCAAGCTTGGGAACCAAAGCATCGTAGGTTTGATTCCCAGTCAGGGCACATGCCTGGGTTGCAGGCTATATCCCCAGTAGGGGGCGTGCTAGAGGCAACCACACACTGATGTTTCACTCCCTCTCTCCCTCCCTTCCCCATCTCTCTAAAAATAAAAATAAATAAAATCTTTAAAAAAAACAGTGTGGGGGAGGGGAATGAGGAGCCCTGGGGCAGGGGGGTACTTTATATGGGGGGGTTAAGAGAGGCCTCAGGATGGTGACATCTCAGTGAAGACCTGCAGGGGCTGAGGGACAGAGCCATGGCTGGGGCCAGGCTGGGGGCATTCCAGGGGTGGGGGGTATCTGCACACAAAGGCCTGAGGGACGAGCAGCCATAGCACAAATGTACAGCCAGACAGACAGAGCGAGTAGAGATAGGAGACGCTGGGGGCCTTGACTGAGCAGGTCAGAGGGGTCATCCACAGCCCACCTGCCGCCCTGTCCTCCTCAGCACACCAGGGTTCGCAGGAAGACGGCCGTCGTTCCAGCATCAGGACCTCGCACAACCAAACCTGAAGCTGGAGGAGGTGGTGGCCTCCAGTCCTCAGCTTCCCAGAAGCCCTGTCTCCTAGCTGACTTCCCTCAGGTCCTGCTGGCTAGAGCTGAGCTGGCCAAGGTGATGGGTTGTCCTGATTGACTTGTCTAATCAATCAGTCCCCCACATACATTTTCTCTCCCTCTCTCCTTCCCTTTCCCTCTGTAGAATAAAATCTTTAAAATAAATAAATAAATAAATAAAATCTTTAAAAAAAAAAAAGATTCAGTGCCTGGGGCTGAAAGAGGCCCCACCTCTGAGCAGGAACACAGCTGCCTTTGGGACAAAACGAGGTTCTATTAGCAAAGAAGAGGGGTCAGTAGGGATCCGTTAGGACAAGAAATTAGGTGTTTCAAAAGAAGGAATTTCATACAAAGAATGGCTTGCACGGTGTTGGAAGGGCTGGGAGAGAAAAGAGGGAAGAAGGGGAGATGAGAGAAAGGCAGGCCTTCCACTTACTGGGGCTGTTAACAAATCACCCCAACACCTTGTGGCACGACACAGTCCAGGAGCAGGAACTTGGTTGCTTCCTTAGAGTTGACAGAAGAGTTGATACGGGCACAGAAGTCTGAACAGCACTCGTGGGGGGCTCCTTGTGAGTGAATAGCGGCCTTTACTACTGTTACTGGGGAGGAGCACACCCACTGGGTGGCGCAGTCAGGGTATGTGTTCTGCTCCCAAAGCCCCTTCTGCTACCCAGCCAGGCCTCTGCTGGGGTGGCCGTGGAGGGGGCAGAAAGCGGAAGGAGCAGTTTCTTCAAGACTGGAGGCCCTGGAGGCCCTGGGGATGTGGCCAGGGTATGACCCATCGGCACCTAGCAGGCAGGTGCTCAGGAAAGACTGGCCCTGCGGCGGAAACCAGACTTCACAACCATGACTGGGAGTCTGCACGGGGAGAAAGGGGCTTTGGGGAGCAGGGTGAAGCTAACCCGGGCAGGGAATTTCATTTTATTGTACATTTCTAGGTTTTCCGGTGAGCACGTGTGTCGAGTTAAACATGTCACTTATCTAAAACATACAAAAGCAAGTCGAGGATATGCAAAGCCTCTCACTGCCTGGATAACCTCTGCCCTCAACAGGAGAGCTGTAACTTTGCTACATAAGCACGTGCTTTGAATTTTCAAAGTCGTTTCCCTTGTATTGTCCCCCTTCTCCCTCTCTTCTCCCCCACAGACTCTCCCCAGGGTCCCCCACCCCAGGGATGGCTTGTCAACAACCTCCCACATCTCCTCCCATTATTTCCCCAACTCAAATAACCCCACGCAAACATTCATTACAAATCGGTGCAGACATATACATATAGCTGTGCCGATATCAATATAGGTCAATAGGGACACAGGTCTGCATCGTCTACACAGCTGTCATATGTAATACGACAAAAGCCACTTTCTCGGGCCCTCTTTCCCAGAGTGAGCTGGGCCCCATAAAGCAGAGGTGTCGAACTCATTTTCACCGGGAGCCACATCAGCCTCACGGTTGCCTTCAAAGGGCTGAATGTCATTCAACTCCTTAGCAGTTGAGGAGTAGTTCCATGTATACAGTCCTAAAGTTATTTCGGCCCTTTGAAGGCGACCGGGAGGCTGATGTGGCCCCCGGTGGAAATGCGTTTGACGCCCCTGCCATGAAGCATGACTGACCTTCATAGTTTTATGAGCCTTTATCCTCAGGACTAGAAAGTCACTGGAAGCCCCTGAAGGTGCAGAGGGCACTTGTGACACAGGACATGCCAAACTGCAACCCCAGACCGGAAGATAACAGCAAATCAAATTGCAGCCCAACATCCTGCTCTCAAAACAACTCATTACCCAATGAAAGGTGAAAGCCCCAACCCCTCAGGGGCGCATTTCCGCACCTGAGCCCCTTCCCTCCCTTGGGAAAGTAAAATAAAACCTTGAACCTCCGTTCTTTCTTTTCTCTGTGACTTCTTTCACCGCCCAAGTCACTGACCATCCTGACAATATGTATACAATACAGACATGTGTATGTTATATCTGTGTCATACAGACACGGCTATGTCATGTCTCTGTCATATAGGTATATGGGACCTTTTTTGTCTTCTAAAAATAAGGAATTAGCCCTGGCTGGTGTAGCTCAGTGGATTGAGCATGGGCCGCAAACCGAAGGGTCACCGGTTCAATTCCCAGTCAGGGCACTTGCCTGGGTTGCAGGCCAGGTCCCCAGTAGGGGGCATGTAGGAGGCATCCACACATACTGAAATATCAGTATGTTTCTCTCTCTTTCTCCCTCCCTTCTCCTCTCTCCAAAAATAAATAAATCTTTTTTTTAAATAAAAATAAACATAAGGAATTAGTCACAGCTCTCTGCATCTTGCTTTCCTCACCAGCACCTCGTGGAAACCCTCCAGGCCCTTTGATTTACCCCTTTTGCGGGCTGCATGCGAGGTTGAGGTGCCTGCGGCGTAGATGCCCCAACATGACCCTGCTGAGCGCATTCACATCCTGGGCTTCCTCCCCCTCCCGCTGTGAGTGAGTCAGCAGCAAGCTTCCCATGACAGCAGTGTTCCTTGTTAGGTGCTACATGTCTACAAATATTTCCAATACACGTCAGGAGCTTGGTGGACAGACCCCTGTCATGCCTTTAAAGAAAATTCTATCATGCAATGGGATCGCAAATGACGCTTATAAATTAGAAGTGAGAAAAGGCGAGTCGGGGTTCAAAGAGCATCTTCTCCCACCCCCGTGTCATCTTTACCCAGGCGAGGGTCCCTGGATGCCCCCTCTCCCCTGAAGACCCCAGGGAGACGTCAGTGCAATTGCTTCCGTCCTTCGCAGGTTCTCAGGAGGGAGGGTGCTGGGTTGAAGGAAGAGCGCACTTAATTCACTGAGAGGTGATGCCAGATTGGCCTCCCGTGTCCTGCTTCCTGAGCCCGACCTTCTGCGCAGGCGCAGCTGTTTCTCTGCAGGCCCAGCCTGACTTCCCAGCCTCCCCTGCTGCCTTCTTCCTTCAGGAAACAGCCCTGTCCTGTGTGTCCGGCCCTCTGCGGGCAACAGCTTGGTGTCCTGACCAGCGCTGTGCTGAGCCACACGGGAGCCTGAGGCCAAAGGCTCCGCATACATGCGGTTACCTATTTTTGTGACACCTGTTTTCTCCAAAATCCTAGAGTAGTGGAAAAAAATATTGAGAAATTGTCTAAGGTATTAAAACTATTTGAGTTAAAATATTTTATTTATATCGAAACAGAATTTATTATCATTTTACTTTGGCATAGGTTAATTAAAAATTATTTAACATCCTGGCTGGTGTAGCTCAGTGGATTGAGCGCGGGCCTGCAAACCAAAGGATGGCGGTTCGATTCCCAGTCAGGGCAGATGCCTGGGTTGCAGGCCAGTTCCCAGCAGGGGGTGCACGAGAGGCAACCCTACATAGATATTTCTCTCCCTCTCTCCCTTCCCCTCTAAAAATAAATGAATAAAATCTTTTAAAAATTATTTAACCACATTGTTTCGTCAGGAGAAACTGTCGAGCATGAAGGTCCTCTTGACCAGAATTATTACCAGTAAGTTTGTTTCCGTCAAAGCCAGGCTCCAACACGTCTCGGCACAGTCCCGCTCCTTATTGAAAATTTTGATAGTATGTTCATTGAACTATCAGGGTTTTTTTGCGTCAATTTTTTATTTTTAAAAAGTATTCCATTAAAATATCATTTGTATTGATAGCCGAGTGTTTTGGCCCCTTTAAGTCTGCACCCAAGGCAGCGACTCGCTCGCTGGCCCCAGTCCTGGCCCCACCCTCACGGCGCTTCTAGGAAGGCCTTGGTTCCCTCCCAGGGAGCAGCCGAATAAATCCTCCCAGAACGAACGCCGCGCTCCCTCCTCACTCTGCTCCAGCCGCCCCAGCCATCATGATTCTCCCCAGACACACCAGGCTCAGCTTCGCCCCAGGACCTTTGCACTTCCACGCCCTCTGCCCAGAATGCTCTTCCCTCTGATGTCCACGTGGCTTGTTTCCTTCCTTCTTTCAGATCTGCGCTCAAATAGAAAGTCGCTTTCTCATATGGATCTTCCCAGAACATTCTGTCAAAAGCAATACACTCCCTCCTCCAAGTCACTTGACCTAAAATAATGATTTATTATTTCTCAAAAACCTGTGGGTCGGTTGGGCCCCACTGAGTGGTTCTTCTACCCCCAGGGAGCATTGGCTCGGGTCACTGCCCTCCAGCGAGGGCACTGCTGGAGCTGGAATGTTCTAGTGACTCGGGCTCATCCCCACATGACCTCCGCCTCTCCACAGGGGCTCTCCAGAAGGGCAGCGGGACCTCTGCATGGTAGCTGGAGGGTCTGAGAAGAGAAAGCAGAAGCTGCCCCCACTCAAGCCCTGGGCTCGGAAATTCCAGAATGTCACTTCTGCTCCATTCTGCTGGTCAAAGCAAGCCACAAGGCCAGCTCCAATTCACGGGGAGAGGACAGAGACTTCCCCTCTTGACAGGAAGAGTGGCCTGTGCCTACAGAGAGGGAGAAATTGTTAGTGGCCACAGGTGTAGGCGATCTACACGTCCCCACCCCCATCCCTTACCCTTGTCGTTAGGGTGGTAGGTG